ATTCGTTATGACGTAGCAACCAATGGCTATTCGTTCTGACTCACTTCGAACCCCCCACCCTATTGTCGTCCCTATTCATAATTCATTAATTAGATAGATGAATCATTTGAAAAACCTTTTTCAAAATACAAGTGATTTCCTCTCTCACTTAGATTGAAATAAAATAAATAATTAACCATCACGTGTAACCACACATATATCTGTTACATATGCATAATGCAAATCGCTACGGCACAAAATTAATAAAATGAGAGGCATCAAATAAGTATGAAATGCATTATTTTTAAGGTTATTAAATAATGAAACAAAAAGTCTAGAAATTTATTAGAAAATTTTGTATAAAGTAAAATTCGTTTTAATCACAATCATATAATCAAAGTCGATTCAATCTTCAACGATTGTTGTTCTAGATCAAACACTAATAGATGACGGGTCAGCCAACCATTAAAAGTTAACTAACACGTATGACCGAACGGTTAAATTTACTTATAAGTGGATAGAGTGACTAACGTGCAATAGAAAACTAAATGCAATGACTAGTTTGGGATGGAAAAAATGTTTGGTGACCAAAACAAGATTTCTCTAAACGTTTAATGACCACGAATAATTTTCACCAGCACCCAAATTGGGGGAGAATTCCCCCTATATTCCAACGTTGCTCGGACAATTTCTCTTTTAACTATTTTTATAGGTTGCAGTTTTGTTCATACCTTTCGCTATTTGGATTGCGACGCTTTAATTCCTCGGTTTCTTATGGAGATATAAAAACATGGTCGATTCAGAACACTTTGCTGCTGAAAAGCAACAAAAAGCGGAAGGGGGGCACTAAGATTATAGCATTCAGTGGGTATAATTTGTTTAAATTTTGGATTTTATAGGTTTAATTAGTTATGCAAAAGTTGGCTCTTTTATTATTTCTTTCTATGAACTGTTCTACATCACTCTTCTGAAAAAAGAGTATTTGTTGCCTATGTGATTTAGTCTCTCGGGAACCTTTTCATTTTGAAAGTTTTAATTATTGGCATGAGAGTTGGGAAAAATTGAATCTTGTTTTGCAGTCTACATGAGATGTTTGATAATTTTTTAATTGAGTCCCATGAGGCCTGAACTTGGATATTTGCAATTGCCTTTTCTGGGCATTGAGTTCATCGAGGAAAGAAATATGCTGGCTGATTTGGAGATATAATTTAGTTTCTCTGGATATTTTCTGCAAATGGCTGGGATTTCCGCTGGATGTATTCTATCACTTAGGATGCCTTGTGCCCCTGAGTACCTTTCGATTTAATTGGTGAACCAAAACCACAAGTCCACAACAGCCAGTATGTCTATCTTGTTCCCCAGTCAGCATTTTTATAAACTCCCACTCCTGGATAGCATTGTGGAAAGGCTGTGATTATAGCTTCCATAGTCCTCTTTAGTATTCCAATCAGTTGGAATCAAATGGCTAGGCTCATGAAATTACGGACATCAAAATTTAAAACAATGGCCAGTTCATTTGCTGGATCCTGGTCTTTTCTGTTGACAGGGAAAAGGGATAACTGCAATTTCCTTTGTCTTTCTGATTTAAATAGAACCATTTATCAAGTTCCAGATATATTCTAATATCATAAAACATGAGAGGAAATCATTTATAAATTTTGAAATTTCTCCCATGAATATGTTTTTAAACTCATTGCCCCCGGTTGTTCTGTTTCTAATAAATTGGAGAGAAGCTTTGCATCGGCATTTCCAGTTATTTATTTTGCTGGAATCTAAGATCTATGCAAGAACACCCTTAAGAAAGTGAGAAATTGTATAATCCCATTTTGTTTTATCATGTTTTGATGAAAAGAATTTCAAGAAATTTTATGTATATTTCAGTTTTAACTTTTAAATAGTTTAGACCATATGTGGGGCTTATTTGTTAGACTCTTTTCTTAACATAGAGAGATGGGAATACACAATTTTTTTTGGTGTAGTTCACAGTTCAGTATATCGTAATTAGGCAATAATTCTGAGTAAGTGTTGCTGTTTGTTGACGCCCTTAACCCAAATTCATTTACCTTGATTTGTATACCTTTCGTGGCCTCATGGAAAAAGGGTATTACCGCTTCTATGACACTTAGTTCTAATGTTATGTTTTATTCTTCCATTTAAATTCCAAGTTTAATGACAATGATACTTTATGTACTCTCCATTAATATAATCACGCACAAGATTTATTGGTTATGTCTGGGAAGTTAATAAGTAGTTCTTGATCTTCCAAGTTTGAAATACTTGTCTGGAATGAAGTTAATGATAAAAAAGAAGCCTTTTTTTTTTGGGAATGTGGATGACAACAATTGAATTGATGTATCATAATTAAGAAGTGTCATTTTTGTTTTATGTTGGAAATAACTTCAAATTATGTATTTGTTATTTAGCAGGGTGATAGTTCAATTTTAATAATTTGAAGGCTAGACAATGAATGTTTGATTACAGTTTTGTTTATATAGGATAGAAAGTAGCACCATGCCTCGGAAGGTGAACTATGGGGTTGATTATGATGACGACTACGATGTCTATGAGGATGATGATTATGAATATGAAAATGAAGAAAAAGGTGAGTTTCTCCATCTGTACAAGTATGAGTTGATAAAACATTTGTTGTGCTTCTTGTTTCGAGGGTTTATTATTGGAAACTCTTTTATGACTTATAGTTTCATGCATTACTTTCGTGGATTCTACTGTCAATATTGAATTATTTTTGATATATTTTTGGACTTGAAAGTGGGTTTTTTCATTAAGTTATACAACAATGTAACTATTTCTACAGAGCTCGAAAGTTTAAATACAAATATTAAGGAAGATGTATATTTAAGAATGTGTTCCTGTTTTTATTCAAGGAATTAAACCTGGCTCAACAAGAATAAAACTTCACCGATGCAATAGTTGCATGGGAGAATTTCTCACTTTCAGTCAATTTTTACCATATTTGCAGGGAGTTGGTTTCCTATCTTTAGAATAATGAACTTCTAAATCAATATTATGAACTAACTCTGAATATCCAACTCTTATAGTGGGAAGGACCATGGGTCCTTTTCATAGGGTTATCATTCTGTGCTTGTTTGGGAGGTGTTTAGATTATTATCACTTTTGATCAAACATACAACTACTACCCACTTTTTTATCTACACATTATGTTGGACCCGCTGCATAAATTATAATTTGAACACTCCCAACCAATCACTTTAACTGTTTAATAAATATTAGAAACTAAACTTTGAATCATATGAGGTAGGTCGAAAATAATGGTATACTTAAGGTGCAATTGTTGGTTACCAATGTATCCCATTTTAAGTAAGCCCACGTTTTGCACCCATTCTCTATCTCATTCCTATTCTCATTTTTTTTTCTCTTACTTCATTTCAACCACACATTCTTCCAATAAAATAATATTACACACAAATCTAAAACTTTTCATAACTTTTCCACCACATATTCTCCCATCAATCACTATTCTAAAAATTTTTATCTTCAAAAATAGGGTGTCAAACACACCCTAAATATAGAACTTCCAAACTGATCTTGAATGACAAAGCATAAGAGTTGGTCAAAGAAAGTTTTGTGCTGAAGATGATGGTTTGCTTTGTGATTCTAGTAATCCTTTTTGTGGTTGTTTGGCTATAAAACTGAAGTTCTTACCCATTCAGCTGTTCAATATGAAGGTAATAAGAATATGAAGATGGTTAATTATCTCTTACTTTTTACTTGAGATGCAGCTGGGTTGGTGATGGATTTGATTATACAGAAGACAAGCCCAGACCAGCTGGAAGTAATTAGTGTATTCTTCTGAAAACAGTGGTTTTGTGATTGTGAGGTCTAAAGGGCGAATGATGAAAGGAAATGATTTTAAAAGCAAGCGATATTCTTTCTGCAGTGTTAATGTAACATTAACAGCATGTGCTCTCTGAACAGAAAA